GACATAGAGCCATTGACCACCACCCTCTGTCTGCGGCCTTTCAACCAATTGCTTATCCATCGGGTCGTCCACCCATCAAATCCACTTCCCTCCAATTTGGAGATGAGGATGTGGTGGGACCATGTCAAAGGCCTTGCTCAGGTCCAGGTAAATGACATCGGTCGCCTTCCCTTCGTCCACCAATGCCGTCACTCCATCATAGAAGGCCACAAGATTAGTTAGGCATGACCTTCCTTTGGTGAAGCCGTGCTGGCTGTCTCGGATCACATGCTCATTCTTTATGTGATCGAGCATGTTGTCCAGGAGGATCTGTTCCATGATCTTCCCAGGCACGGAGGTGAGACTCACTGGCCTGTAGTTCCCCGGGTCCTCCCTGCTCCCCTTCTTGTATATGGGAGTGACGTGACCCATCCTCCAGTCATCCGGGACCTCACCTGACAGCCACGACTTCTCAAATATGATGGAGAGCGGCTCGGCAACCACCTCAGCCAGCTCCTTCAGGACCCTGGGATGCACGCCATCCGGCCCCATAGACTTGTATTCATTCAGTCTAAGGAGGCACTCTCGGACTTGCTCTGCCCTTACAGTGGGGAGGGATTTACCTCCTTGGTCCCCACATAGAGGTTTGGGGATGCAGGGCTCAGGGACGTGAAAAAGACTAGAATCCTGGCCACCAGTGAAGACCGAGGTGAAGAACTCATTCAGCACCTCAGCTTTCTCTTCATCTGTTGAAGCCAGTTCTCCTTTTAAATTTACCAAAGTAGGTACGCCCATTTTGGCCTGTCTCTTCTGGCCAACGTACCTGTAGAAGGTTTTCTTATTGTTTTTCACGTCCCTTGCCAAGTTCAGTTCTGCCTGCGCCTTGGCTTCCCTGATCCCACGTCTGCAAGTCCGGACGGCATCCCTGTACTCTTCCCAGGTGACACAGCCTTGTTTCCAGAGCTTGTACACCCCTTTCTTCGCCCTCACTTCTCTCAGCAGGTCCTTGCTGAGCCATGCCGGTTTCCTACCTCGCCTGCCCACTTTCTTATTCAGAGGAATGGAGACCTCTTGTGCTTCCAGGAGGGCATCTTTGAAGAGCCGCCAGCTCTCCTCAACATCCTTGTCTTTGAGGGCAGCGCGCCAGGGGATCTTGGCCAGCAATCCATTGAGTAGCTTGAAGTCTGCTTTTCTAAAGTTCAGTGTCCTGATCCTGCTCTTTGCCAGGCCCACATTGCTTGAGATCACAAACTCAACCAGGGCGGTCGCTGGAGCCCAGGCAGCCTCCAACCTTGACACCTTTGATGATCTCCTCAGCGTTGGTGAGCAGCAGGTCCAGCAACGCTTCACCTCTGGTCGGTCTGTCCAATACCTGAACCAGAAAGCTATCATCAATGGATTCCAAGAGCCTTCTGGAGCTCTTGCAGCTCGCCGTGTGGTTTTCCCAGCAGATGTCCGGATGGTTGAAGTCCCCCACCAGGACAAGAGCCCGTGAGCCAGGCATCTCACGCATCTGGAGCAAGAAAGCCTCGTCAACAGCCTCCCCTTGATCAGGTGGTCTGTAGTATACCCCTAACACCAGCTGACCTATATTAGTCCCATCTCTAATCCTAACCCACAGGCTCTCAACCTGTTCCTGACTGTTTCTCGTAGGGAGCTCCTCACAGTTTATCCAATCCCTGACATAGAGAGCAACTCCCCCACCCCTCCTACCTCGCCTATCTCTCCTAAAGAGTCTATAGCCGTCGATGGCAGTATCCCAATTGTGGGAGTCATCCCACCATGTTTCTGTGATAGCGACAAGGTCATAACTTTCCGAGTGCATCACAGTTTCCAGTTCCTCCTGCTTGTTACTCAGGCTGCGTGCATTGGTATAAAGGCACTTCAGCCGGGCTATCCGTCTCGCCACCTTTATAAGGGATCTAGGATCCCCTAGAACAGCAGCATCCCCAGCATCCCCCTGCCCTACTCCTTCCCTATGCACTCTGCCGTCATTGCCCATGGAGTTTGGTACAAGCCCTCAAATGACCCGTTCAACCCCAGTAGCCCTTATTTTGTCCCCTTCCCCCTTCATTCCTAGTTTAAAGACCTGTCAATGAGTCCCGCTAATTCTTCAGCTAAGATCCTCTTACCCCTCATGGACAGGCTGCATGCATCAGCAGCCATCATGCCAGGTGCAGTGTAAATTGCCCCATGGTCAAAAAAGCTGAAATTCTTGCGTCTGCACCAGCTCTTAAGCCATCTATTTAAGAGCTGGGTATTTTGGATCCTCCCTGTACCTTTCCCTGACACCACGGGCATAGAAGAAAAGACCACCTGCACCCCAGCACCTTCAAATATTCGCCCCATTCCCCTGAAGTCTTTCTTGATAGACCTCAGGCTTTCCTTATCAACTTCCTCGCTGCCAGCCTGAATTATTAAAAGTGGGTAATAATCTGAAGGCCGAATCAACCCAGGAATTTTCTTTGAAATGTCCCTGACCCGTGCCCCAGGAAGGCAGCACACCTCTCTGCGGGTAGGGTCGGGCCGGCATATAGGGCCTTCTGTTCCTTGCAGAAGGGAGTCGCCTATGACAATCACCCTTCTGTCCTTATGGGTAGAAGCAGTCTTGAGGCTTGGGGGCGACCGCTTCGCCTGAGGCAACCTCACGGGTGAACCTGTCTCCGCACTCTCACTCGTCCCCCCCTCAAATTCCAGGGCCTCAAACCTGTTACGCAGAGGCACCTGGGGAGCCGGGGATGGTCGGGATGGGGGATGCCCCCTCCGCCGAGCAGGTACCCGTTTCCACTCTTCCTCCCTTCTCAAATTGCTGTTAGGGGGAAGAGAGGACAGGGGGCTCGCTGAAACGCTGTCAGCTGGCTGGTTCCCCTTTACCAGGTGTTTGTAAGGTGGCAGGGGCTGACGTGCTCCGTGAGGAGCCTCGTCTGTATGCCGAGAACCTGAGGTTGAGAGGGACTGACACCACCAGTCAATCTCCCTCTCACACTCTTTTATAGTCCTCAGCCTTTCCACTTCCTCCTTCAGGCTAATCACAAGGCTGAGCAAGTCATTCAATTGCTCACACCTTATACAAGTGCTGCCTCCTTCATGTGGCATTGCAAAGGCCAGGCTGTGGCACTCCTCACAGCCAGTGACCTGCACACTAGCATCTCGTGATGGTATCTCTGTCTGAGTCGCCACACACTTCATACCATTGTTCTCCCCTCTATGCATGCACCAGACCTCAGTCTGGCTCTGGACCGTCTTCTTGGCTACTGTCTTTCTGCTGCGTGTGCTCGGGGCCTCCGCATGGGTGTTCACAGTTTTTGTGTTTGAAGCCTTCTGCCAGGGTGCACCCATGGCAACCAGCAGGCTCACTAACTCAACAAGAAAGTCCTAAAGGGGTGCAAGTGATCGGCCCTGCCCTGCTGCCCCCTACCCTCACACTGTTGCCGGGTTCGCTAAGTGCCCTGGCACTTACCACCAATAGCAATAACAAGACTCCTTGCAGGGGAGTCCAGACAGGGGTAGCTTACAAAAGCACCACGTTAAGACAACCTGGGAGATAGCTGTACTACCTCCTCTGCTGTGCCTCAGGTGGGCAGCGACATGTCGCTGCCCTCTCGAGGGCTTTTTGTAGGGGTGATCAAAGGCTGCTTCCGGTTTGCGCCCGTTTAAATCTCCCGCTGTTGCCTTGGCAACGCCCACGCTGCGTCAGCTGCTCTCGCGAGAGTAGCCCGACTGAGAGCGGCGTCCGCACAATTGCCGCGGGAATCCTCGATGAGGAAAGCGATTAAAATCCCCCTGTACCTTGCTAAAAGTCGCGGCGGTTCTGCCAGAGACAGCTCCGAGCCGCGGACCTCGGCGATCCATGTCACCACCCACCATGTCACTTTGCTGATATCTACTGTTTGTTCTCCATAAACTTTTTTTAAACGTCGATGAATGTCAATGGGTAAAATTTTTTCCACATGGAGGTATTCAATTACACATCTTTGCTTCATACCTGCTTCATGTGATATATCATTTTTTTCAGATTATTCCTCTGCTGCCATCTGTCACACAACAACAAAATGTAATGGAATGTTGGCAGGAAGGTTCAACTGCCATATCACCAACATCCACCTCTGATGTCATGGATCAACATAATAAAATAGGAGGCATTACTTTCAGAGCAGCCCTTGTAGTTTCTTTTTCTTTTACTACCACATGATAACCAGTTCCCAAACAAGAGTCAGTAGAGGTGAAAAGCATGAATTGTTAGTTGAGACAGCATGATATTAACCTAAGTATGACATTTCATTTGCCCTGTGACTTCATTTGCTTTGCATTTATTTCTTGTTATCTAGATAGCTAACAAGGTTGGTTTTGGTTTGTTGTTGCTTTTTGTTTGTTTTTTACTCTTTAAAACGCATTAGATTTCCTGTTTTGTGAAGATGAATATGACACTCCAGAACACTACATGTTGGCTAACATTCAGGAGGTTCCCAGAACACATCTAGTTTATGCTGAATAAGATTATGTATACAACTTAACAATGGAAAGATAATCCTAGTTAGAATTTTGGGTAAAATTATATTTATATTTAGAATAATTTAACACATACTGAAAGTTGATTCCAGCAGAATGTTGGATAAATATATATCCTCTGTTTCTCCTTGTTATTTTTCTTTTTTTTAAAAAAAAAAGCACCTAGATTAGCTACAACATTCAAGTCTGTCCTTGGAGGTACTATGGCAGACTCGAAACAACCTTGTCAGATGACTAATAAATCTGCATGCTACTGTAAGTTGTCATAACAGCTTTAGACAAGCTTTGCTATTCTGATGACGTTTTCCTCGCATTTTTATTCTTTAGCCTGCAAAGTAATTTTTAAGTATTATCACAGTTTAAAACAATTAAACTCAAGCGAGGAGCTAAAGAGTACATGAATAGAAAGTCATAAACATTCAATTTATAATACAATTGTTTTCTATGCTGTACTGACTTCTAAAATGACAAATAGATTAACAGTATTTTAAAAGAAAACATTTCATTCTCACCTAAAATGATTGACATTTGTTTTACTGAGGAATGAAAGCACAAATGAACCTGGTCTCCGATCACTCTCTCGAATAAGGTAAGTTCCAGATTTCCCTGCTTGCCAAAGACGCTCTTCAGCAATTGCTCTGTCGAGTTTTCCATGATACCATCTAAAAAAAAAAAAAAGTAACAATGTAACAATGGTTGTCCTTAGAACTTAATGATTCTATTCATCTTCACAAAATAGACGTGAAAATAATAAAAGCTACCATTTGAAATTGATGAAATTTCAAGCCTTTCTTTCAAATAAAGTTATCAAGTTATCAGGTGTAACCTCTGTTGTATTACTCGTTTTCAATATACATAATACTATTTATTTTAAATAGTTCACAGGTTTTCAGATAAGCTACTTCCCTAAATAACTCACACTAGAAAACAGCACTCTAAACCATCCATGGAGGACAAAAGCTTTATGACAAGCTTTTTCTTTCCTCCTCAATTTGTTTATTTTCAATAAAGGAGCAGAACTAGAGCCAAATGATCTGAATCAGGCTGCTGTATTTTTAGCCTCATCCAATTCAGGCTGGATAAACAAATTGCGAAGGGAGATATAATAACCTGTTTCTCATTGACAAATACAGAGATCACAGAAGCAAAGTCTGCACTTAAGCTAAATGAGAGCAGTTACTACTCGACCATAGTTCAGCCAAAAAACAGTCTTCCCCAAACTCAATGCAGCCTATTGAAAGCACGGACAGAAGGCTATGTTGGGCTTAAGTGGCAAGGTTGTGGTAGCCAGAGGGGAAGCTGCAGAAGTGACCTCTGTGAAAAGAAGCTGCCCCATGTTAGATAAGAACCAGTTCCAGCCAGCTCCAAAAGGGATTTGCCACTGGTCATACCTAAAACAGAGAGACATTGGTTGTGCCTCTGTAACAGTATTTTTAAGAAGGAGAATAAACAACAAAAAACTGCTGTGCAACAGCAGCTAGGATAAAGGAGCGAGAAAATGTAGAAAGAATGAACCCTGCAGACACCAAGGTGAGTTAAGGAGGTGCTCCAGGTGCCTGAACAGAAGTTTCCTTGCAGCCTGTGGTGGAGCAGACTATCCCCCTGTAACCCATAGTGTATCACAACACATGCTTCAGCCCATGGAAGAGCCCATGCTGGAGCAGACTCTGGACTGGACCTGTAGTCTGTGAAGAGGAGCTCACAATAGAACAGGTGATCTGGCAGGAGGTGCCAACTATGTGACACCCACACTAGTGCAGTCCCTTTCTGAAGGACTCGCACACCACAGTAGACCCATATTGGAGCAGTTCTTAAAGAACTGCAGTTTGTAGGAAGTCCACATAGGATCAGTTCATGAAGGACTGTATCCTGTAGGAGAGACCCCATGCTGGAGCAGGGGAAGAGAGTGAGGATGAAGGAGTGGCAGAGACAGTACTATGGACTGACTACAACCCCCATTCCCTGCTAGTGAGTCATGAGACTGCCTTGTCTTTTTCTGTTCCTCTGTTGTGTATGTTCCCTAGACATATCGCCACCAGCATTAGAGTAAGGCCTTCAGTTTTAAACACACACTCTCATTTTATTTGATTTACTGGCTTCTATTCCAATTATATTGTATTACAGTGTTATCTCACATTCCTCTATCATATTTAGTAAATTAGTTTTCTCCCTTAGCTCATCATCGCTCTTTTGCTTTGATGCCCATCTCCCTATCCTTTTTCCTTTTTCCCCCTTTCGCCATTTCCAGGGAGTAGGTCCATGAGTCCCTCCACCCTATTTAGTCAAAGAATTGAGACAAACAGGCCCAAAACAGTTGATATTTTATTGGTGGCATTGGCCGGGAAAAACGGTACTTTTAGAATTAAACTCTGTATTCTCAGAGTGAATTAAGGAAAATAAGTTAGGTTAAAAGTTATGTGCTTTCATGGGGTGCTGAATCAGCAGCTACAGATCTGGCCTTGCTAAGTCAGGCTCTCGCCACCGATAACAGATGCTTTCTTACAGACTTAGTGCAGACAGTGGGTCTCCTGTTTCTCCAAATAACATTGTTAGTTATCCTATCTCTGGAATGCAAGGTAGCAGGCTTAGACAGGGAAACCACAAATTAACAAACAAGCAGTGGATTGGTGGACGGAGTTGTAGTCAATAAGATGACTGGCCAGAGCAAGTCAAGCATCCTCCAAATTGACCCAAGTCAAAGAGTACATAGCGAGAAAGACATACAGCCTTCATCATAAGACCACCAGACAACCACTGAGAGATACCACGCATGCGGAAAAGAACTGAGACTCAGGGCAGGGAAAAGTGTAAATTATTTGAGGGACTCATTGTAATAACCCAGCCTTTTCTTGGACAGCTAATGCATATGTAAGCAGCTTGTTCTTTAAGTATGTGCCTTTCTTGTCCTCTGGTATGCAGGCTATTTGGGAATACCCCCTCTGCATCCAGTATGGGTGCTCAGTGCTGATTCAACATACCTGCTTTATGACTACTCTGTGGTTATAGAGTTTGATTTCTGCACATCAATTTGGTGAGCCAGGCAGGAGACTCTTTGCTGGACCGCAGGGCTGGTTGGCTAAAGGGACTCTTCTGGCACGCCCCGAGAAATTCAGAGAAGACTCCCCCATGCCGACACATCCACTGCAGGGCTGAGAAAGAGCCCCGGCTGCAGACCAGGTATGTTGGGAACAGGGAACCCATAAGTCGTGAGGAGACATCCTATGTGGGGTATGAAGGAGCGTATGCTTCCCCCTGAGGAACGTGAGCTCACGGGTAAGGTTGCCATCTGGGGTGGGAAGGCTCCTTGGGGGAGCTCCCACGAGGGCCCATAGGTTCGAGGGATCCTACAGGAATCGATCGATCAGTAATTCGGACCCTTGTGAGCCCAGGAGGGCATTTGGAGCAAATGTCCAAATTGTTTTTATATTCTTTTTTCTCTTCTTTCTTTTCTCTTGGCCAGTTGCAGGAACTATGATAGTCATAGTAATTGCTGTAATCTCCCAGTACTTGTGCTGCAAAAACACTTCTTGTGGGATCCCGCTCCTTGTATAAATAACTGTATTATTTATTGTCACTGTCTATCTTTGTAATTGTTAAATGTTTGTGTTCTAAAAATGTTACTTGTGGAATTCCATTCCTTGTTTAAAATACTCTTGTCTTGCTGGGGGACGTTGGTTAAGCCTCTTGCCCAGAAAATTCAGTGTTCCCATGCCCTGGGGAAACAGGTGGACTCTATTACCCAGCAGAACACAGGCGATTTTCACCCAATACCTAAGACCAGCTGGAATAAACAGGTGTTATGGGACAAAGGGTGTCAAAAGAAATTCCAGAAAAGACCATTCTGTGTTGTATTTAGGCTCACTGGAGAAATATCAGCAATGAGCCAGGGGGAACACTGAATAAGAAACTGAGAACATAAATGAAGTAAAAGGACCAGTTTTTATAATTGAGTATTTGTCACGGAGTTGATCAGATCAATCTATGTCCGTGACAGGGGCGGCAGGCCTCTGCCCTTCCCCCCCACCCCGGTCCCACAAAAAAATGGGAAGGAAGGAAGGGAGGAAAAGAGCAGCGGCAACAATCTATGGAGAAAAACTTATTTTACTATAATATTGGAATACAAAATAACGCAATATATACAATTTAATTGAAATTGAGATTAATAAATCAGACAAGATGAGAGAGAGAGTTCCCGGGACCGATTAAAACCTGAAAAGTTTGGAACGGCTAGGAAAGCACCTCCAGCACCCACTGCAAGGCAGCAAGAGAGCGCCCCCCCCACCCGGAAGGGCCAGATCCCGTGACTGCTGTAATGTACAGGGATAGGTACCTGGGATTGGGGCAGTGACACCTTAATGCCCCGTACACTACATGATGTTTTGATGTGGAATACTGAAACCCAAAATAAAAACAAAAACACAGAACCATGACATTCCACCCCTTATTCTACATCGTTACATCATGCTTAAAATATATATACATATATACAAACAAACAAAAAAATGATTAAAATGCACACATGACTATATACATATACATAGAATTAGTAACTGCACTCCCCCGGCATCAAGTTTCCTTGTGGTACACACTGGACATCCCCATTCTTCTGCATCACCCACCAAGTGGATCCTGGTCCCTGGGCAAAAACTGCACCACGGAGAGGTTTGCCCTTTCCAGAAGCTGGAAGAACCCAAACTGCCTTTCCTAACATGTTCTTTACATGTACAACAGGGACTTTATCTCCCTCTACGGTATGTAGGGAACTGGATTGGTTAGGACCATCACGATTGATAGATGCTCTGGTATTGACCAACCAGGTGGCTTCTGCCAAATTCTTCTCCCAGTGCTTAAATGTTCCGCCACCCAGTGCTTACAGCATAGTTTTTAACAACCCATTGTATCGTTCAATTTTACCAGAGGCTGGTGCATGGTAGGGAATATGGTAAATCCACTCAATGCCATGATCTTTGGCCCAAGTATTTACAAGAGAATTTTTGAAATGAGTCCCATTATCTGACTCAATCCTTTCTGGGGTGCCATGTCGCCACAGGACTTATTTCTCGAGACCCAGTATGGTGTTTCGGGCGGTAGCATGGGGTACTGCATATGTTTCGAGCCACCCAGTGGTTGCCTCCACCATAGTAAGCACATAACGTTTACCATTGCGAGATGGTGGCAAGGTGATAGAATCAACCTGCCATGCCTCCCCATATTTGTACTTTTGCCATCGCCCTTCCTCCCACATAGGTTTCATCCTCTTGGCTTGTTTGATGATGACACATGTATCACAGTTATGAATAACCTGTGCAATGGCATCCATAGTTAAGTCCACCCCTCGGTCTCTAGCCCACTTGTATGTTGCATCTCTCCCTTGATGACCTGAGGTCTCATGGGCCAACCGAGCCAGAAATAATTCACCCTTGTGCTGCCAGTCCAGGTCTATTTGAGCCACCTCAATTCTGGCAGCTCGGTCTACCTGATGGTTATTTTGCTGTTCTTCAGTAGCCCGACTCTTGGGCACATGAGCATCTACATGGCGCACCTTTATAACCATATTCTTTGTTCGGGCAGCAATGTCTTTCCACAGTTCAGCAGCCCAAATAGGTTTACCCCTTCTTTGCCAGTTATTTTGCTCCCACTGCTGTTACCACCCCCATAAGGC